TTCACTACATTTGCTAAAAAAAAAAAAAAAAATCTGATTACTCTGTAAAAATGTACAGTCGATTATTTGATTATTAAAATAATTGAGAGTGACAGCCCTGTTTTAAACTTCCCTGCCCCTTGGACTTATTATATGTTAACACTATAAAATGCATAATGTTTGCACTTCAAATTAATTTAAGTAGTTTTCGGATGTTTTGTGCATTTGCTTAACATCAGATATCAAAATGATAGTATTATTTTTTTTTTTATCGTTCAGGAAGGACTAAAATCCTAGTGACTGTAGGCTATATTCATTGTTACAAAACTGGTGCTAAAGGTCCGAAGTTTCTTTCCTGCAAACCAGCACATACAATAAAGTGTGCCTTACAATAAATGCCACTTGCGTTGATTTGTCTCATTATTGCAGCCTCTATTAGGCGACATGACTACAGGAGTGCAGTTACCTAGGCTCTCTAAAAGTTATGAACAAACGTTAATAGAATGTTCATTCCAAGTTAACAACGTTCTCAAAACGTTAGCACACGAACATTATCTATAAATCGTGTATGGAACTTTTTTCTGAAAAAAAATAAATAAATAAAAATTTTGGACGTTCGGTGGTTTGGAGAAGATTCCCGTAATGTTTGCAAATCAATAAAATGGAACATATTCTCTTTAATGTTGTCTCTAACGTTCACCAAGAATAAAGGTTTTTATACCTGAACGTTTAAGTTAACTGAATTTTTAATTAAATACCTGAACGTTCAGAGAACATTCAGAAGTAACTTTTTCCTACTCTAATGGAGACGTTAGCAAACTGTTCTTTGAAGATGTTTTTTGGTAGCTGGGTAGCTGATCGTTCACGCAAACACGTGTCTCTGAACGCATCTGTGTCTAGTGTAGATCAGTGCGCTCTGGAGGCGGAACCAACGCGCGCGGTAGTGCTGCGTTCAGCGCGAACTGTGGCGCTCTTCTCGTGATGGGATCTATCTTCATGAGGTGATTTTAGAAATAAAGAGTGAGTGCACGCAGATGGAGGTGTTTGTGCTGCTGTCAGCGCTGCTGTGCGTTCAGACCTCCGTCAGCTCTCCAGTCTCCACAGCTGCTCAGGCTCAGGTGAGATCTGCTTCTTCTGGCGCAAAATAACGCCACAGATACGTTTAAATACGGACAAGGACTGTAGACTGATTTCTGTTTTACTTGCATCTTATGATTAGATTACATTAGATTGCAACATTATTTAAAGGTTACAAAAACATTGCTTACAACGTTCTACTATAGTTGCCGCCCCCCCCCCCCCCAT